TCAGCCTGAAGAACTTCCATTAATATTTCTTGTAAGGCAGGTCTGCTAGCAACAAATTCTCTGAATTTATCTGGGAATGTCTTTATTTCAACTTTATTTTTGAAAGAGTTTTAGTGGATATAGAATTCCTTGTCAATTATTTCATTCTATGAGGACTTTGGATATCTCAACCCACTGCTTTCTGGCTTCCATTGTTTCTGATGAGAAGTCAGCTGTTAATTTTATGCTGATTCCCTTGTAAGTGACAATTTGTTTTTCTTCTTGCTGCTTTCAGGATTTTCTCTTGCATTTTTATCATGGTAATGTCTGTGGATGTCTTTATCTTATTATAGTTAAGCTTCCTGGATGTATAAATTAATGTTTTTTAAATAAATATCAGCCATGGTTTCTTCATACATTTTTTCTGTTCCTTTCTCTCCTCTCCTTCTGGTACTTGCATTGTGCACATACTGGTGCACTCAGTGGTATTTCACGTTTCTCTAAGGCTCTCTTTGTTTCTCTTCATTCTTTCTCTCTGTTTTTTGAGTTGTGTAATCTCTGTTGATCTGCAAGTTTCATTAATTTCTTTGGCTAGTTCACATATACTTTGAGCTCCTCTAGTGATCTTTCATTTTAGTTATTGGGCTTTTAAACTCCAGGATTTCATTCTGGTCTAAAAATAATCTCTGTCTCTTTATTGATATTTTGTATTTGATGTGACATTGTCATCATGCCTTCCTTTACTACTTTAATTATGGTTTTATTTAGTTCTCTGAACATATTTATAAAACTGACGTTTTTGTTAAATCTGACATCTGGTTACTCTCATAGGTGGATGCCAGCTTTTTTCCTGGTATATAGGCCATTCTTTCTTGTTACTTTACATGTCTTATAATATTTTGTTGGAAGCTGGAATTTTTTGATAACATATTGTAGCGCACGCCCCATCATTATGACTCATTGGATTAATTCGGTAGAGTCCCCGTCTCTCCCTACCTCCCTAACAGGGAGGCCTCTGCTGCTGCTTCTCCTTTGCGAGTTGCGTCATTGGGTTTGCCCACAGTCACTCTCAGATCACTGTTTTTGGCAGGACTGTCTTTGATTATCTTTTTCTGCATGTAGCTGTTAACCTCCACTAATTGCTACCTGACTTGCTCTACTGTTCTCAGAAGTGCCCTGGAGCACAGATTGCTTCACAGACTGATAGAGTCAAATTCAAGCTTCTTTGAAGAGATGCTTCCTGAGGTCTGTTTTTGAGATTGTTTCTGACCCTAGGAGAACTTTCAGCTCTTTCCTTGGTTCTCTGAGACCAAGTTGGGGCCTGCAATTTAACCTGTATCTCCAGTGAATCTTCCCATCTCCTAATTGCCTTTCACCCAGCCTCTGCTGTTTTTAAAAGTGCCCTTTGGCTTGGACTCCTCATTGTCCACACACTGTTACAAATAAAGTCAGATCCTTTAGGGACCATACTCCAATCTGTTTCCCTCACTTCCACCCCAAGGCAAAAATCTCTGAGTCACAGCTCTGGCGCTGGTAACAGTGGTGTGCTTTTCTGAGTGGTACTCCTGCTTAGGAATTGAGCCCTTGGGGGTGGGCAGTAGCCTCAGGTTTTCTTGGCTTACCTCTCCTTTTGAGCTAGGGCAGTGGCAGTCAGGGCCCTAATAGTCCCAGTAGTGCTGTGCTCACGGTAGTTTCCATCCCACAAGTTGGGGGCTAGGCATAAGAAGGGAGCCCCCATCTCTCAGCTATACTTGCCTGTAACTTAGTCATTGCAACAGTTAGCTGTGGCCAGGATGGGAAATGCTGATGTTGTGCTCTTTGTGGGAAGCCAGCCCACTGACTGGTAGCTGATGGGGAGAGGGAGGCCTGTGTTCTTAGCTACGGTCATCTGGAGTGGAGTTTTGGTCTGGCTGAACTGGGAGTTGAGAGAGAAGATCTTTTTTTAAGATTTTATTTATTTATTTGACAGAGAGAGATCATAAGTAGGCAGACAGGCAGGTGGAGGGAGAGGGAGAAGCAGGCTGCTGAGCAGGGAGCCTGACGCAGGGCTCCATCTCAGCACTCTGGGATTGTGACCTGAGCTAAAGGCACACGCTTAACCGACTGAGCCACCCAGGTGCCCCAAGAGAGTAGATCTTGGTACAAGTACCACAGACTCTCAGTTCTTACGGAGTTTTAGGAGGTTGTCTTGAAGAAATGTTTCTTCATTTGCTATATTCCCTTATGTTCATTTCCAGATAATGCTTTAAATAATTTTTTTAATAGATTTTTTATTTATTCATTCAAGACACAGAGATAGAGAGAGAGCATGAGCAGGGGGAGGAGCAGAGGGAGGGGGAGAAGCAGACTCCCGCTGAGCAGGGAGCCCAACGCGGGGCTTGATCCCAGGACCCCGGGATCATGACCTGAGCCAAAGGCAGACGCTTAACCATCTGAGCCACCCAGGCACCCCTAAATAATTTTTTGAAAAATAATTTTCACCAGTTTTGCTGGGGAGAGGGGGCGTACAGCGCACCTCGTGCTACCATACTAGAAGTACAACAGTTGTTTTTCAAAATAAAAAATAGTGCTGAAAATAAGGTAGCAATATGAGGGCAGAAAAAAATAGTAAATTTTCTTAAATCACTGAAGGATATTAGGCATTCATAGGCATTCAGGGGATACAGAATGTGCCAAACTCCCTATTTTTTTCTGATTTGGGAGTGAGTTGTTCTGAAAAGTATGATTGATAAACTGCAGTTCTCTGGGCAGTACAGGATGTTGGTTGAATTGGAAAATGTTCTGAGGCAGTGTTTACGGAACAATGGGATATTATTTTCTATGTTCAAATAAGATTTAAGGAAAATGATAGCTATCTGCAGACATTTGTCTGTCACGTGAGGAAGACAGATTTGTTCTGCATTATTCCAAAGAGCAGACCTGTGAGTCATGAGGGGAGAGGCCAGTGAAGTATATTTTGGCATAGCAGTGGGAAGGATCTCAGAGGTGCCTGAAAGGGGAAGGGGCCATTTTTTGGGGGTGGGGTGGGGAAGGTGCATCTCTTCCTGCTGCTGGCTGAGGTTCTGAAGAGGACTGCAGATTGTTTCCTGGGGTAGGCTAGGGTGACAACATCTACTGGGCTTTTAGACAACATTGGGAGCTCCTGGCTGAATGTCTGCATCAGAATTATAAAGTATACAAATTCTCTGGCCTCACCTTTGGATCTTCTGTCATTGAGTGTGGGACCAACACATCTGCATTTTTACAGGTCCTCCCAGATGATGCTGCCAGGTTTGAGATCTGCTGCCTTATTTGATTTTGATAGTGCCTTCCAATGTGTCATTTCCTGTGGATAATAGGAGTGCCTGCCTGGTCCCCAGTCTTTCTCAGCTTCCCTCCTCACCTCTCCCCCATTATAGCAGGGGTGCATTTTGAGAGACATGCACCTACTACCTATTGTATTAGCCCCCAAATGTTAAGGATCGATGATGTTCTGTAGTGCTGAAGGTAATATCAGTACTCATTTGGTAATATTAGTGACAGTTTAAACTGTTTGTGCCCTTATCAATCAGCTCTAGGTTTAGAGATTTCTGCTGTAGAGCCATTCTTCTTTGGGCTTCTTGGGCATTTTGTTCGATCCATGTTCATGTATTTTTTTTTATTAAACATATTTCAAGTCTTGTTAGATTTGGTTTTGTTATTTTATTTATTTATTTATTTTAAAGATTTTATTTATTTATTTATTTGAGAGAGAGAATGAGATAGAGAGCATGAGAGGGGGGAGGGTCAGAGGGAGAAGCAGACTCCCTGCTGAGCAGGGAGCCCGATGCGGGACTCGATCCCGGGACTCCAGGATCACGACCCGAGCCGAAGGCAGTCGCTCAACCAACTGAGCCACCCAGGCGCCCAAGTTTTGTTATTTTTGTTTGTTAAGAGCCACAGGATATTTCAAAATTAAAGTGTATTTTTTTCTGGCCTAGAAGACCAAGAGATTCCCTTAGAATAAACAGGGATTTGAAAACATTAAAGTATTCAGGACCCAAATATTTATACTCTATTTTAGTCAATAATTTTAAAGGATAGGAAAAATAGAATTATCGATTAAAAACAGCTTAGTGCTCATGACTAGAAGCTACAGCCTGGTTAACAGTGATTCTTTTTCATAAAAGACTGATTAAGAACTATGCCTGGCATCTTCCATTAGCTCCCCACCTTGGCTTTCTCTTCAGAAATCTTGTTCTTCAACCTTTCACTAGAAAGTAGCATATAATGTCCTTTATTGCCTCCTTGGATTAAGAATTCTTTTGTTTACTTCTTTTCGCTTATTTCTGTATATTGCTGTATGTGTCAGTGCCAGATGTAACAAATTTGTAATCCCAAAATGGTAGATCAAATAAAAGTGTATTGTGTATATTTTAAGTTCTAAAATAATCTTAGGTTTGTGATAGTGACCAAAAAAAATCTATTTATTTATAAAAAAAGATTTATTTATTTGAGAGAGAGCAAGCACAAGCAGTGGGGAGGGGCAGAGGCAGAAGCAGACTCGCGCTGGGCAGGGAGCCCAATGCATGATTCGATCTCAGGACCCTGGGATTATGACCTGAGCCAAAGGCAGATGCTTAACTGACTGAGCCACCTAGGTGCCCTAAAAAATTCTATTTTTTTTTTTAAAGATTTTATTTATTTAATAGAGCGAGAGCACGAGTGGGTGGGAGGAGCAGAGGGAGAGGGAGAAGCAGACTCTCCGTTGAGCAGGGAGCCTGATGTGGGGCTCAATCCCAGGACCCTGGGATCATGACCTGAGCCGAAGGCAGACACTTAACCGACTGAGCCACCCAGGTGCCTCTTGTGACAAAAAAAGTTTAAAAAGCAAACTGGGAGAATTCTAAAATGCAGAAGGATTGTAGGAGGAAATTTGAATTGAATGTTGTAGAAGGAGTTAAAGGAAATATGAATATTCTGCCTGTACATAAATGTGCAATATTGCCTCTGTTTCCTGAGCACATTTCCTCACAAACTCTTCTGCCTTCCTTTTTTGTTAGCTTCCCTCTTCTTCCACATGGGGCCAGCAGTCCAATACAACAGCGTGTCAGTCCCAGGCAACGCTGTCATTGGCTGAAATCCAAAAACTAGAAGAGGAACGAGAACGGCAGCTTCGAGAAGAGGTAAATTTTAAAAGTAAAAGTGGTCTCGTCAAATAGTCTTCCAGAATAGTTGGTGTGCATTATGGGTGAGTGGTTAGTAAAGATCATGATTATTGTCAGAATTGCTGTGTGTCTGAATTGGATGTTCATTATTAAACTCTTGAGCCTGTAACAGGAATAACATTAAGATTAGGTAACATGAATGTTCCTTTACTTTAAAGATTTCGTTGAAACTCTTGAGGAAGTAGCTCATAAATAAAAGTACATGGGTTTTTCAGAATTATGGTTTTTATGCAGATATCCTTCTTGTAAATTTGACTTTTAGAATGCAGAATACATTTTTTTCCCTTCTGAGGGTGTTGGGTTTTCTGACTAGCTAGAAAAACTTAAATATGACAGAAATAAAGTCTTTCTGCTTGTAAGTCTATATCCTGTAGCTTATCATTAGGATAAGAAGGATATAGAAGAGTGAAATAAAGGGGGAAAAAGGAAGAATATAGTTCCTGACAAAAGAAAATGAATAAGTAAAATGGTTTGGTTCAGCATGCCATTAAGGTACCATATTAATTCATCTGTCCATCTGTCCATCACATACTTGCTGACACTGGCTCAGTTATAGTCAGAGGATATGGCTGAGTCTAAGACAGACAAAATTCTCTGCTTTTATAAAGCTTGCCCTTGGGTTGAGGGGAGATGGATAAAAATTGGTGGTAGTGATTGTCTAGTTTCAGGTAGTGTGATCTGGGAAGGTCTCTGAAAAGGTGGCATGAGGTAGCAGAGTCTTGTAGAAAGTGTGTTATGTGGCTATGACTCGAGGCAGAGCAGTCAGTTTGTTTGAGAATGCAAGTTTTCATTTTTGGATCTGGGTGGTGTGGTTCACTGAAGGCCATGGCTACACAAAGAGAAGGGGGAGTTGTCTGTGCATGTTCACTGTGTAGTATGCTTGACCTTACCAATGGGTGATACTGTCTCTTCACCTTAATTACCTTATTTCCCACCCTCTAAAAAAAGAGACCGCTTTCTCTGAAATTGTTTCTTTTCTAAAAGGTTACCAACAGGTAGATGCAGAGCAGGGTATAACTGCTCCCTTCAAGACTAGAAACTGTTCCATTATTTCTGGTCTCCTCTGAATGAAAAAATACTAGTGATCATCAGAGTTGGAATCCTGGGTCTTGGCTTGTTCATCTTTGTCAGAAGTGAAATCACCTTGGGTGCCTGGGCGGCTCAGTCGGTTAAGTGTGTGCCCTCGGCTCAGGTCATGATCCCAGGGTCCTGGGATAGAGCCCTGTGCCGGGCTCCCTGCTCAGCGGGGAGTCTGCTTCTCCTTCTCCCTCTGCCTGCTGCTCCCCCTGCTTGTGCTCTCTCTCTCTAATAAATAAATAAAATCTTAAAAAAAAAAAAAAGTGGGGTGCCTGGGTGGCTCAGTTGTTGAGCGTCTGCCTTCGGCTCAGGTCATGGTCCCAGGGTCCTGGGATCAAGCCCCGCGTCAGGCTCCCTGCTCGGCGGGAAGCCTGCTTCTCCCTCTCCCAGTCCCCCTGCTTGTGTTGCCTCTCTCTCTGTGCCTCTCTCTGTCAAATAAATAAAATCTAAAAAAAAAAAAGTGAATAATCACCTCCTTTGTATTTTCATTTGATTAATTCTCTTTGAACTGTTAAGTTTTTCCTACACTCTTCAAGAGGTAGAAAATGCTACTCAGTAGATATTTCTCAGGTAGGGAAACCTAAGTTAATTGTATTTCCTTCTTTTCCTGGAGGTAGCCTTTGCGTGAGCCCCTAACCTGTTCAAATCTGGATGGTCTTAGTTTGCTGCACAGCTGTTCTGTTTTCTCAAATTCTTGCCGTATGCATGTTGTCCTCTTGGACTGATTTTTATTTTTTCATACTTTCTCTCCTATTTTTAATCTCTTTTTACCTTTTTTGATGGGAGTATTTCCTCGATCTTATGTTTTAATTCTTCTATTGAACTGTAATGTCTGTGATCTTACTTAGAATTTCTGAGTCTTTAGTTTGTTCTCTTAGTGTTTCATTTTATAGCCTCTTACTCTTTCATTGAATTCACATCTTACCTCTCTAAAATTACTAGTATGTTTTTTAAAAGCTAGTCCCCATTTTCCCTTCTCTTGTTTCTTTTTCCATTGAATTTCATTTTTTTGATTTGGTCTTTGGCTTTCATCCTGGAAGTTCAGGTCAAATGTTTGTTGATCCAGAGCTCTTTGTTCATATATAGGATTGGAGGTTCTGTATATACAACACCTTGATGGGCTTCGCTGTAATGATCTCTGGCAGAGCTGTTCTGTTGGGGGAGTCCTCCCATCTCTTTGTATCTATAGGTGTATTCTTTTGTGCTGGGGGGTCACCTTCCCCACAGAATAATCACCGATCTGGCTCAATCTCTCTAAAGAGGAATGTTTCCGTTTTCTGCTAGGGAGAGAAACAGCGGCCCAACTGCATCAGGTTACGGAGGCAGTCTGGGGTCTTCCTGTTACTTTTTACAAGACTTTCAGGCAGTTTTCCCTCTATTACCCACACTTCTAATTACTGAGTTTTCTAGATGAATTGGCCTATTTTTGAGCTTCCTTTACTTAGGTTTCAACTTACTGGGTCTATTCCCTTGGGTATCGTTATTTGTCTGCTTTTCAGCCTTTAGGGATCTATACTGTTCTTTTTGTCCTTATGGGTTTATACTTTATAACAGTATATTTTTTTCCTGTCCTTTTGGTAGGACTTTAGGAAGTTCATATGTATTTCATTTCTGTGCCTAACGAAAAGTACTACTTAATTTTTAAGAAGTAATTCTGCCTTTGATCTTTTTATTCTCTCTTAGTACCTCTGGCAGTTTACATCTTTATTTGCCACAAAGTAGCTAACCCTTTCGTGTGTTTAACTTCATATAGCTCTTACTTATTTGCATTCCATTTACCGTACTGGATCGTAGTAACTAGTATTTTCGAAAACCAGAATGTTAAGCTAGCTTACTGTTAACAGCAGAGGCGCCAGCAGAGGGAACTGATGAAAGCTCTCCAGCAGCAGCAGCAGCAGCAGCAGCAGAAGCTCTCTGGCTGGGGGACTGTCAGCAAACCTGCAGGCACTGCCAAGTCGCTCCTGGAGATACAGCAGGAAGAAGCCAGGCAGATGCAGAAGCAGCAGCAGCAGCACCAGCAGCCGAACAGAGCCCGGAACAATACGGTGGGTTCATCTTGCTAAGCACTCATTGAATGGATTGGTGTTAGAAGTTCTCTTTTCTGACTTTGGACTCTCTTTTTAGTATTGTTAACCGCATCATTTGTCTCTTCTTCTTTAACAGCATTCCAACCTGCACACCAGCATTGGGAATTCTGTTTGGGGCTCTATAAATACTGGCCCCCCTAACCAGTGGGCATCTGACCTAGTCAGTAGTATCTGGAGTAATGCTGACACTAAAAACTCCAACATGGGATTCTGGGATGATGCAGTCAAAGAGGTGGGACCTAGGAATTCTACAAATAAAAATAAAAACAACGCCAGTCTCAGGTAGGGCTCAAAATGATCAAACCTATGCTTCTTGGAGGGTTGGGGGACGGGGCATGTGGGGACTGGGATACTGGGTGGGCAGGGAAAGATAGTTGTTTAGTTTTTGCTTATTTTCATCTGTGTCCAAGCATGGGAGATTGTAGTTTGGTGATTGCTTTCTACCCCATGGAAACACATCTGTATTATTACTAGGGACTCTTCGTACTGCTGGGCACTTAGTCCATTGCCTGTCACATGGTAACCACTTAATAAATATTAGGAATAGTGTATTTTTGTTGTTGAACATTTCTCCAAGATCCTCTCTAGATCTTAGCATTTTTCTCTAAATTTATATTTTTTTAAGTTAGCTAGACTATAGTGAGTATTATAAACACCTCTCTAATGACCTTAAACCTATATATTTTTATGACAAATTAGTTACACTTCACCTTTGTCTTTCTTTCCTCAGTATGCAGTGTTAATGAATGAGCATGGGTTTTAATGATAAATATGTGAACTCAGTTCCCAGCACTGCCACTTACTAGCTGTGTGACCTGTGTGACCTTGGGCAAGAGGGAACCTCTTTGAGCCTCAGTTCCCTCATCTGTAAAATGAAGATAATAATGATGACTTCATGGGTGTAGTTGTACAGATTGAATGCACACGAAGTAGTTAGTGACGTGCCTGGCACATAGTAACTACTTAATAAATGGTAGTGTTGTCAGATTGTTTCTTCTTGTTGGAGGGTCTAAAGTATTAAGAATAGGACTCTAAACAACTGTGAGCTTATTGAGCATCTTTGCCAGGCACTGTGCTCTAGGCCTTTGCATACAGTATCTTGATTCCTTATGATAACCCAAAGAAGTATTAGTACCATTTTACAGATGAGTAAACTGAGGCTTAGCAAAATTTAAAAACTCACCAAAGGGCACGTTGGAAGAATTTAATCATTTCTCTGGCAAGAAGCCATATCTTCACAAATGTGAATGTATTAGCTGAGGCTAGTTTGTAAGAGGATATTAAGTTCCCCCGTCCCCAATCCAAATATTTGAAGTTGTTTTTTTTTAATTCATTTTTGGACCCAAGCATTGGATTACTGGACAGCCATCCGGTGTTGCCAGGACATTATCTGTTTATGGTGTTGTCGTATAATCATATAGTAACAGTGTCTGGGAATATAATATCGCCCTATTGTTTTGCTTCAGTAAATCTGTAGGTGTGTCTAACCGGCAGAATAAGAAAGTAGAAGAAGAAGAAAAGTTGCTGAAGCTCTTTCAGGGAGTAAATAAAGCCCAAGATGGATTTACCCAGTGGTGTGAACAGATGCTTCATGCCCTTAATACGGCAAATAACTTGGATGGTAAGAATTGGGGAGGGAAACCCAGCATGTGGAATGGCAGAGCAGGACCCACAAAGAGGTTGACAGGTTGGAATGATGGGCCAAAACTCAGGAGGTGAAAGCTAATGGAGATCAAATCCTGTATCTACCATAAGAACTTGACTCTTTAACAGTATTATAAGTACTACTTGTGAGAAAAGTCCTGTAGTATTGTACTCAAATAGGTTCTCAGTGGTTGCCAAAAAGTAAGTGGAATCTCAGGCTGTCTTAGTAAATGTGCAGGACAGAGGAGGTCATAGTTCCGTACAGGTCATTTTATGGGGGACATAGCCAGCCAGGCCAAGTCCAAAGAAAGGTAACTCATGGTGGAGACAGAGGTCATCTTGGGCAAGAGAAGGCTGAGGTGATCTTTCCCTTCCTGCTTTTGGGGGCGGGGGTGCCAGAGCAAGTAGACTTTATTTTATGCACAATGAAACTAGGACCAGTGAGTGGAAATGAAAAGGTTTCAGTGCAATTTGAAGAAAAACTTGCTAATTGTTACTTGATCACAAAGAGAATTCTCTACCTTAGATGGAAGTGAATCTCTGCCCTGACCCCAAATGTTTGAACCAGAGACCAGTCAGCTTGGTGTGGAAGATTTGGATTCCTATAACTGATAGGCTGATTTGAACTTATCCACTTCCAATGTCTTAACTAAAACCAAGGATCTTATAAAAACAGAATAGTAAAAGAATGGAAGAATTCCTTTGCAGCATTGTAACAGTATCTTATGGTCTGAAAGAGCCAGGGGGAAAATAATAAATAATAATAAATAATGGCCAGCTACCATTCATTAAGCACCTATCATGTGCTAGGCACTTTTTAGCAGTTAGCATAGGTTATTCCAGTTACTTAATTTTTGCAGTAATTTCATAAGATACCTTTACAATGTGATATTATCCCCATTTTATAAATTAGGAAACAGAGGCTCAGATTGGTTAAATAACTCATCAAGGTCACACAGCGAGCAAATTTCAGAGTCAGGATTTTAACCCATGTCTGTCTAACTCTGATACTTGTGCTTTTTCTGCTGTACCACACTGCTTGCATATTCCATTTAATTCCTCTCTAAACATATGATATCTCAGTGAAGTCAAAGTTCCCGGAGGGTACGGCTGTATTTTTAGTATCTGTCATGGTGCCTGACGCACATCATAGCACTTAATAAATATTGATTGAATTTAAGGAAAGAAAGAATGAATTTCCAGATAACTTCTGTCTTAGGCCAGCAGTTGTTTTTAGTCAACGTAACATGCAGTTTTTACCAACATAGCGTTTAGTGAAACTAAACATGCGTGATATGTCTTTGACTCTGCTATTTGAGATAATTTGGGGCATTGCAATGACAGTGGGCTTTTTTTTTCTCTCTCTGCAGAGTAGGTTAAAGAATATTTAACACAGTAGCTGCATACCTTTCAAGTTTGCATCATTAGAGTCGGCAGTAGGTGTGACAGTATAATAAAAACTGACGCTGAGTCTTTGCATGTGATATTTCATTGTTACTCTTTATGTCTTTTCCCCTCTCATGTTGCAGTTCCCACTTTTGTTTCTTTCCTGAAAGAAGTAGAATCTCCTTATGAAGTCCATGATTATATTAGGGCCTATTTAGGAGATACCTCTGAGGCCAAGGAGTTTGCCAAGCAGTTCCTGGAGCGCCGCGCCAAACAGAAAGCCAGCCAGCGGCAGCAGCAGCAACAGCAGGTACGAGGCAGTGGCGTTGGTGCCGTAGCCCTGCGAGTGAGTAGTAATACCTTGAAGTACTGAGCAGCCAGAGAAATGAAAATTAAAACAAAGGATACTGTTTTTGTACATCACATGACCATAGCTTCTTAAAATGTGGTAGATTTCAAATGATATGCCCAGAGACTTTTGCGAATTTCCCAAATAGCAAACGAAATCATTCTCTGTTAGGCATACTAGTTGCATTTTCCTTGGTTCGTATATGTGCCTCAAATTGCAAATTCCAACTTGTCACAGACCCGTACATTTTTTTGGATAGTTAAAACCTACAAATGTTAAATTTCGAGTGCTCAAGATAATACACTGTACCCAATATTGACAATACCATAGCATGCCAGACACGTCAAATGTTGTTGATGGGGATGTAAAAGGTACAATCAGTTCTCATTATTTGTGGTAGTTATGTTTTGTAAAGCCCCGCTAAAGCTGAATTAGCGAATACTGAACTATTGCTCCAGGGAAAACATCCAGTTAGATTTCTGGAACCTCTGATCACATTTTTGTCAGCAGGTCAATATGTTACTTTGTTTTATGCGTGTTTCTGTTTAAGATGCCTTATTTAATATATTGTTGATTCCTTAACATTGAACTCATGGCCAGCAGCACTAGAACTGACACCTGAGTGAAGCTCATCTAGCACATGCATTTTTTTGGCACACCAGGCAGTACTTAATACTTGGGGGCCATTTTATTTTATTTTTTAGATTTTGTTTATTAGAGAGCGTGTGCGCACGAGAGGGAGAGAGCGGGGGCAGAGGCAGAGGGAGAGGGAGAAGCAGACTCTCCCTGCTGAGCAGGGAGCCCAACCTGGGGCTTGATCACAGGACCCTGGGATCATGACCTGAGCTGAAGACAGATGCTTAACTGACTGAGCCACCCAGGCGCTCCTCTTGGGGGCCATTTTAAACAGTGACAGCACCAACAAGCATAAAATGTGAACATCAGTACACTACGGAGACTGAAAAAGATGCTTGTTTACTATATGAGAACTGAGACAAGAGGGCAGAATACTGCCCTGTTCCACCTCAACTGGGGATGTGTTCCTCAGACAACTCAGATTTTTCACTGCTCTGGACATTGGCGTGTTCAGGAAAACCATAAAAGCACTGCAAGTTTTGATTTTGGGGTTATAAATAAATTACAGCCAGTAAGTGAATTTGCAAATATGTATATCTGTGAATAATGAGGATCAGTTCTACAAGTTTTCTGACAGATGAGATGGCAAAGCTCACGAAGAGCTTAAGAATATTCATATCCTTTAATTCTATAATTCTGGTAGAGATAATTTTGTTATAGCGGTCATTTCTGGGGATATAAAAGATATAGTGAAGTACATGGCATTTGAAATCCATTTGGGGCGCCTGGGTGGCTCAGTCTTTAAGTGTCTGCCTTCGGCTGAGGTCATGATCCTTGGGTCCTGAGATTGAGCCCCGCATCGGGCTCCCTGCTCAGCGGGGAAGCCTGCTTCTCCCTCTCCCACTCCGCCTGCTTGTAGTCCCTCTCTCACTGTGTCTCTCTCTGTCAAATTAATAAACAAAATCTTTAAAAAAAATAAATAAAAATAAAATCCATTTGAGTAGATGGGCTAACAGGGATTAAGTGAAAAATGTCAACATAAACAGCACTAGGAAAAATAATCAGAAGGGAAGACATTGTATAGCAATACAGAAAGTTTTTACATTTATGAAATGGCTGCCCCTGTGTGCTGAAATTGGAAGTTGGGGCCCACTATGCGTGCACTTGGGCATGTAGCCAGGCTCGTCCTTCCACAGTGCTGTCTCCACTCTTCCTCCTCATTTCCCACTACCACTACCTGTGCCTGCAACTAGCTCATTGAATCTGATCCCAGTTTAAAATGAATTGCTCTAATAAGAGCAACAGGTAAGTGTAAATGGCTGGTAGACTATTTCATAGTTGAACCAGTTGGTAGAAAGTGTATGGATATTTGGGGACCAGATTTCTTCTAGGATTGCCCATAGGAATAAAGTACATGATACTAATTTTGTTTGATAACATGCTGCCAGCTAGTCTGCAGGCTGTTCTTTCTGTCCTAGGGCTCAGAGACAGAGGAACCTCATGCTTTGGTAGGTGAGGGGTGTAAATTGCTGGAGTCCAGAGGTCTGTTGGTGATTATTTGTTGTATATTTAATTTCCTAGTAGACGGTACGGACTCCATGTATACCAGAGAGGTTTTGACGGCTGTGTTGTCACAATGGGATGAAAACCTGGAGCTACCAGGATGGGCCTTTTGGAGGCCCAGAGCTTAAATGGGATGTCTGAATCTAAATGAAGGGAAAGGGTGGCTTAGTGGACTCTTCTTGGTTTCATTATTACCAGAATCCATGATAAGACTTCTGTTTTTAATCTTATGCTTGATAAGGTGAGGGCCAATCAACCATTTTCTTAGAGTGGGCCACACTTGAATCCACTGTGTAACCTCAGTTGTGACATCTTATCTCACAGGACTCTGTGTGGGGAATGAACCATAGTGCACTCCATTCAGTATTTCAGACCAATCAAAGCAACAACCAACAATCCAATTTTGAGGCCGTACAAAGTGGCAAGAAGAAGAAAAAACAGAAGATGGTCCGAGCAGATCCCAGTTTACTAGGTGAGCAAAAGCCTAGTCTCAGGTGGGTGTTGGAGGTGTGCAGGTTATAGCAGTATTATATGTGAGTCTCCTGGTGGAATGTTTTTCATCAAGGGAAATATTTCTTACATAAAATTAATGTTTTTAAACAACTTCGAAGTAGGTAATATTTACTGGGCCCATCAGTACAAGAGCAATGCCTCATATGCTATAGGGAACAAGAGAAGTAATTACTTATACTGTGTGGTGCTTTAAACTTTGAAGCCTTATTTCATATATAATAGGAATTTTCCTAGAAGGCCTTTCAGTTTAGTTGGAAAATAATGCTAATGGAGAAAAGGAAAAGTTGTAAAAATTTAAATGCTGATTTATATAGAAGCTGACCATAAATCCAATCAGGTATTCAAACAACTAATATTTGCTGATACCCATTACATATGTGTATATATACCTGTGATTTTCAGAGTCACTCTGCATTATGAGATCATGTTCCAGTTTACCAACGAGTAAACCAAGGCCCTGAGGGTTTAGAACATTTTCCAAAGTCACCCAGCTGTTCAGCAGTGGGGCTGGGATTTCAGAGGAGGCCTGTTTTCCTTCCACTCTTCTGTTAGCCACAACTATTCTCGTCTGGCGTTGAGAACCAGAGTCTTCACACAAGGCAGCTTCATGGAAATGGTGACACCAGAACTGGGGCTTTGAAAGACTGGCGGGAAGGACAGACAGTGGTGTTTCTGGAATAATAAACAGTCTAGGCAAAGCAGTTGCAGGCTGTTTGTGTTTCTTAAATTGGCCCAACAGCCTCACAGACAATGATGAAATTAAAATGATTCTCTGTTTATGAATGTAGAGTATTAAAAACCATGCTGTCCGGAGTAGAATGATTATATTGGCAAAGATGGCAGGTTGGGATGTTGGCCCAGGCAGGAGGCAGAGTGGTTAGGAGGCTGCAGTGTAGACCAGGTGAAAGATCCTGGTGGCCTGGAGAATAGGGTTTTGGCATTAGAGATGGAGAGGAGTTAGATGGGTTTTAGAAACTTAGGGGACTGAATTGGCAAGACAAGAGAGGAATGGAAGGGTTTGGGCAGCAGGATGGGTAGTGTTGCCTTTTGCTGAAAGGATGAACCCTGGAAGATGGAGCAGGCTTATGGGGTAATGATACGGAGTTGAAGTATGTTGGGTGGGTTCAGTGTGAAATGCCTATGAGACTTCAAGTGGAGATGCCCTTGTGAAAGAGCAGAGAGCACAGCAGGAGGGGGATTGCCATCCTACCCTGCCCTCCGTAGGGTCCCTGCCTTCCCTCATAGGTTTCCTACTCTGAAGAAAACAAAATGTCAGTAACAGAAACCTAACTTTGAGGATTGCCCTTTGGAACTGGGGCCCGAAAGCTGGCTTGGGAACAGAGAGAGATCTGGTGAAATTCTGTTTTCTTCTGCCTCAGAATTGTTATTTATTTATTTATTTATTTTGTCTGTCTTAGAAATTTATGTTAAGAGTAGATGGAACCAGTCTAACATTTTATCCAGTTTTGACAGAAGTGGGTAAATACAGATTTACAAGTGTCCCTGAAATTCTGGGTGTGGATTCTGGCCAAGAAGCCCTTGTTGCTCTTCAGCTGTGGCACTGGAAGGGTAGGCTGCAGGGAAAATGTTCCTCTGAAAGTGAGGTGTAAAGCTCTGTGAGTTGAATATTCAATCTGACTCCATCCCTATTACAGACACCAGAAAGAAAGGGACTTAAAACACTCTTCAGGGGAATGAGAGGTTTTTTTAGGAATAGAGTTTAAGGAATGTACGTATGTTGAAGGAACAGAAAAATATATAAGGGAAAGGGAAGTAAAAGTTGAACAGAATATTGAGAAAACTCACTTGTGTAGGCTTGGACCTTTTTATGAAAATTTCTGCTCAACTAGATCTCTCTCTGAAAATTCCTCTGATAATTACTAACTTCTGCCCCTTACTACTCATTTCCACTTATTACTACTTTTAATTGATTTATAGATTGAGAAAAATTAATAAATGTCCACCAGTCAGTTTGCCAAGCACAGAATGAGACCGTTCTAATTTGATCCAAAAGCATCCATTGAGAAAGTGTAGTCACTGATCAAAAGAGAACTTTGCTTCTAAAACAGACCATCAGAGAGGCCCAGCCTCATTTTAATGATCCATCACTTCCATTGTGCTCTGTGTCTTACTGTAGTCATTAGAGCTACCAGGTGCCAGTGTGAACCAGCGTCCATTACTTGGATATGATAAATAGTCCATGCACAATGGCATTTTCCTCCTGTCATACTTTACAGCCTCTCAAACCTTAAGAAATCATGCAAGTGAGACGTAGTCAGTTCTGATCCTAATAACGGAATGTAGTCTTTAGAGCCAGGCACAGTGGGCTTAAATCCTCCTTATTGCCTTGTACTTCATGGTATCCCAGAGCTTTCCCGTCTGTCAAATGTGGAGTAGACGTGCTTTTATGACTGGTCAGTGAGACTGTGTCTGCTAAAAGCTTAGCCCAGTAAGCCACATACTGCAGTCATGAACAAGTAACTTTTTTTGGGGGGAGGGGGCAGGCTGCTGCTTTTTTCCTGTGTTTGCATGATTAAAATTTAAGTTTGTTTGTGTGTGTATTTTTAAGTTTTTTTTATTTGAGAGGGCACAAGCGGGAGTGGGGAGGGGTAGAGGGAGAGGGGGAAGCAGACTTTCTGCTGAGCAGGGAGCCTGATGCGGGGCTCGATCCCAGGACCCTGGGATCATGACCTGAACGGAAGGCAGATTCTTAACCAACTGAGCCACCTAGGCGCCCCGTTTGTGTTCTTATTACATTTCTGCTTTTATCACATATAGCTCATTTTTATCACAGTTCATCTGTTCCTGAGATACATGTGAAGTCAAAACCTTGCTTCAGAATAGAGTAATAGCTCATTTCATAGGCTGTTTGGTTTTTAAGTTTTAATACTTACCTAATTGAACTGTTATTTCCAAATATGGATACTAAGCCTTTCATTATTTTCAAGGGAAAAGGTCTTGTGGGTTGTGGCAGTGTTGTTGATGGGTAGAGCTGAGGCTGGGGTTTGGAGCCCTGGCCTCTCCTAGTCTTAGGCCTTGTAAGCAGCTTGTACCATAGCTTCCTTGGTTAATAAATAGTCACGTTTATGTTTTCAAATGATATTTTGAGTCAAGAATATAATATAAGCTATTTTTATTATATAAGACTTTATTATTGGTACATTTAAAATGTGTCTTTGTTTGAAAACTTGAACATTTAAAGAGCAAAAAGGAGGGGGCAGAACACAAGTAATATTAACTGCTTTTAGATAGGAGAGCATTGCCTGTTTCCTTTTTGATATTCAAATAGCAGCTGAAACAGTTTGAGATTTCATTTAGGGTGGATGAACTGAAAGCTCTTTGGGAGTCATTCATTCCAAGGAAGCCGTGTTAATACTTTTTATCAGTCTTTGATTATGGAGTTATAGAAAAATTACATACGTGTGGCTGATGGGATTAGGTAAAGTTTGTGTTTACTGTTCCTGCCTTCGGTGGTGGTGCGAATACTGCTTTCTCTAAACCAGATTGCATTTTGGTTAATCAGTATGGCTAACCGAAATCCTTTCCTTTGCAAGCCTACCTATAATAGGTTGAGTTGAACAAAGTACTTTAAATCTTTTTGTGCTGTCTACCCTGTGAGAAAACATCTGAGGGCTATAAGGATCTGGTAGTGCATCTTCCCTGAAGCCTCCTACCCTCAAATAGCAAAAGCCAGAACTTTGAAAAGGTTTTTGACCCAATGAGTGGGAAAAATGTATTCCCAATAGTTAGTGGGACTGAAGTCGTATTACTCACACTTAGATTTCACAGTCATATGGTCAGGTAGTTACAAAGTACTTGGTATGTGTTATTCCTGTCGTTCCCCTGCCCCCATCTCTGTTAAGATTCACCTCCCGAATGAACTTTCCTCGCTAGCCAGCCTCACTTGGCTTTAACACATGCTCATAGCCCAGATTCTTCTCAGGAATCTCTAACGCACTAGTTTGGAATTCTTTTTTCCCTCCCTACGTAATTAGACCAGAACCCTAAGAAAGAAATAAAAACGAAGAATCTCTCATTGGAAGAGCAGAATACTGCTCTCTGACCTTTATCCTTCCTTCTTCTTCCTTTCTTTAGTATCTCTATGGCATGCTAAAGCAGGAGAGACTTCTATTCCAGCCCACTGTCTAGAATTTGAGACCCATGGTTGTCTGGATGTGGTCACTCATTGCCAATTTTTTCCGGCAGGGTTTTCAGTCAATGCTTCATCAGAGCGACTCAATATGGGTGAAATCGAGACTTTGGATGACTACTGAGCACCTGCCAGTGGACTGGCCTTCCTTCTCCTCTCTGCTGACCATGGATTCTCCACCTTTGGACACAACACTTACTCACCATTTACTCTATATCACTCTGCAACAAATCACAGAACCGATCATCTCAGGCTTTTTCTTCTAGCCCTTTGTGTCCAAGATTCTTTAAACTGTTTTTGTTGGTGAGCATCTCAGACTGTAGATAAGTGGACCGGACCCTGTGTCTTGGGGGTGGCAGTTGGGATTACTCCCCAACAAGGCTGATTTTGGGCAGCACCTGTTTACTGTGCCGTGATTTCATCTGCTGTGTCCCAGAAAGTGTGTTGGGATCTGCCAATAGCTATTTACTTTCTTATGTCACTTTTTTCCTTTCTATATTCTTTTTCTTCTTCTTTTTAACCCCCCATAAGGGCAAGGGGTCTAACTGGTGCAGTCATGAAGAGAGTTAATGGTAACAGACATTGACCAGCAACATCATGCCACGGACTGTGACTTTTGAGTGTCCAACAAGACAGTCAGAGCGCCCCCAGTCTGAAGGTCGCATTGCCACTGCTAACTTTGGGATTGCATCAAAGAGGCCCTGAGTGGGGTGGAGTTTAAATTGGATTGGTTTGATGTTGCACACCCCTCGCCTGTTCTTTCTGAGCATCCTTTTGGAGAAAGGATTCATATTTTTCTTCATTAGATAGTGACTTCCAAGCAAGCTGACTTCTCCCCTGGCATTCTCCAACCTGATTGGACAAAGGAAACCCTATGGCCTGGGAGAAGGACTTATTCTTAATTTTTCCTTTCTTACAAAAACTGATTTTTCCCATAAATATTTTTACTTCAGAGGACTAGGACCAGTTTGTTTTGGGCCTTTCTGCTGAAAATTTGTCTCGTTTAAGAGGCAGCTAGGATCTTTACCATATGTATGAATTTGTGTAATTTCATTTTGGATAGGGATAAACTTTTGCTTCTGATAAAAGCCCGGAATTTCATCTGGTTCCTCAGAGCATTACGTGTGTGTCTTGCTGTGGCCCCAAAAGGTTTTGTTTAAAGATTCTGAAATGGCAAGTTGCTTGCCTTTTCTGAAAAGAAAACATACAAAACCTAACCATCTTTAAGACCTTCATCCATGGAAACCACTACACAGGAGAATGCAGTGGGATGGAGGGGATGGGAGAGAATGGGAGAAGAGAAGCCTGCTTCTGGCTTCTGATCATGGCCTCCTAATACCCCTTCACTTCAGTTATAAATGTATTCAAGCCCTATTTATAAACCAGTACTCTTCCTGCCTCCCCCAGCCCCCTGCAGAACATCACTCTGGAATTGCCAATCACACTTTGGTCTGGAGCCATTGGACCATCCGTCCCTGTGTGAGAAGTGCTGTGGTTCGGGTGGCTCCTGGTAGAGCACCTTTTCTTTCTGTCATCATTGCCTGAAGAAGGCTGGAGTTGCTCTGAGAGCATTTTGGTTTTGGCTGATTATATTTGGTTTCTATTTTTATTCTTTTGGATCACCATTCTCCCTATCCCTTCTTGCCTCCCTCGCACCCTCCCTCCCAAACATGTACAATAACTATACAGAGACTGCTACAAACTTGTATATAGTTTTTGGATCAAATAGCATGAGGAGATGGGGGACCATTAAAAGTTGGGACTCCTGCTCTCCTTTGCTTTGTAAATTCAAAAGTGGGGGGTGGGGAAGAGGGATAGTTAAAATGTTTACAAAACTTTAAGCTCCCTCGGAACTTTTGCCAGTGTGGAGGAAAATAAAAAAGAACTTAAATAAAACATGGTGGTATTCTGTCTGAGCGCACCTCTTCTACTCACCTTTGTCAAGGCTAAGTCTTGCACTAAACCATTCTCCTGGCACCATGAAGAGGCTCCAAACACATGAGCACCCGAGACATGGAGGCAGCCATGGCTTTTCCTGCCAGCCTATGGAACACTGGCTGGTTCTGTATTTGGGAATGTGGAGGTCAAGATAAACACGGGTAAGTTTGACCACATGTCTTTACTCCTTTCACTGTCCCTTTCTGCTGACTCGTGGATCGTCTCCTTCCCTCATACCACAGACACACCCTCTGAATGTGCCTTCCAGAGCCTGCCCACACCTTCCAAACTAGACTCCACTGTGTGCTTGTGCCGGAAAAATAAAAACAAATACAAAATTAAAACACAAACATTTGGGGTGGGGTAGGTGGATTTGGGGTAGCAAAGTCATCTTTATCACAGAACATTCCATTTACTTAACCAAGAACCTTGCTTCTACTTGAGGAATTTCCCACTTAGTGGAAAGAAACCACTCTTCCCCAAGAATGTTCTTCTGTCTCAGTCCTGCTCTTTTTCACAGTCTCATCTGTTCACTGACTTCCAACCACCACGTTATGTCCTTTTCTATAAACTTACTTGCAGATTATCTTAACTCTCTCTGAGTTTTAAAGTATTTGTTTTGTATGTGGTTTGCTTTTACTTATTTTAATTGGGAGGCTTAAACATACCCAAACAAGATATCTTTCCCCTAGATAGTTGGTGTTCTGGTTACTGTTGCTGCCTAACGAATTACTCCAAACTTACTTAAAACAACCCCTTAATTTTGTTGGTAATTTTATGAGTCATGATTTTGGGGAAGGGCTCAGCTGGGCAGTTCTCCCGTGGGGCCTTCTCTGATTGTGGTCAGATGTCAGCTGGGGCTGTAATCTTGGGAAGGTTCGATAATGTTGGCTGGCCAAGATGGATCACTCATGTGACTGGCAGTTGATTCTGGCTGTTGGCTAGGAGCTCAGCTGGGTTCATGGCTGGAGGAACTATATATTCCTCTTCAGCATGATATTTTCAGAGTAGGTGGGCTTCTTAGGCGGCAGTTGGCTCCCCGCCAGAGGAGAACCAAGCAGAGTTTGCATCACCATCTCTGACCTAAACTCAGAAGTCACACAGTGTCACTTCTGTGATACTTTTATTCTGTCAAAGTCCCCACACACCCACTGAGACTCAGGAGGCTGGGAACATGGGACCCTCTCCATCCTTGATGAAAGAAATAAGGTCACATTGTAGGAAGAGCATGTGGGGTGGGGGATGTTGTTGCCACTTTGGGTAATTATCTGCATGAGTTTATGCATATACATCAAGGAATTTTCACTCTCTTTTCATTGGTTCTAAGTTGGATTATTTTTTAATTTCAGGATAGATAATAGTACTTCTGGCTTTATCTTAAATAGTTGTTTTTCTCTTAGGCAACTATTTTATAAAGAGGTATTAGTGTGTCCTTTCATAAACACTTTTTTAAATTGATCAGATAAAGAATTTGGAATTTGTTTTATACAAAATGCCCTCTGCATTATTAATAAGAATAAAAAGTCTGTGTATGATGGACAGAAATGCTACCGTGGAGTGAAGCGGTCTCTCCTGTGCTTCCAGTGTGGGAAGTAGAACTCCTCACGGGAGCATCAGGCATGCACATTCCAAACAGAGTGCGTTACAGCCAGGAGCACATCCCCCATGGAAGTTGGGCTCCTAGTTGATAGGTTTCGTGGAGCAAAAAGAAATAGCCCAGCTCTGGAGATGACTTTGACCCTGCTTGAGTGCAGGCAATTCCTAATGAGGAAGCTGCACTGCTTGCTGGGATGCTAGGGAGCCTGGGAACCTGGAAGCAGCCAGATGTGTGCTGTTTATTTTAGGGATGTCATTGGATGTCCTGGGAATGAAGAACCTATACAGCTCTTGGTAGTGCCAGTTCCAGACCAGGAACCTTCGAGAGGAGAGTTTCCCTCCAGAGATTAATTAGTGGGAATGTTTTGTAACTAAAACAGTATAGCCATGCTTCACTGTATGGGAGGAACAGCACCTAGATGCTGGGAAGCAAGGGAAGAGAAGTGGGCTCTTTCCCTCATTGTTGCTCCGTAGCCTAAAATCTATCACCGCCCGCGTTTCGTTGCTGGTAAAGGGATGACATCAGGAGGATGAAACTCAGAATAGCTTCAATACTCAGTTCAGTCCAGCTGGTCTTAAACAGAGCAGAGCCATTGTTTATTTTTTTATTTCTTTTTTTTTTTAAAGATTTTATTTATTTGACAGAGAGAGATACAGCGAGAGAGGGAACACAAGCAGCGGGAGTGGGAGAGGGAGAAGCAGGCCTC